ACCAGAACAGTGAGGACAAGTTAAGATCAAAGACAATGCGGTTACTGGAAGCGGGACGTTACTTAAGTCGCCTGACAAACAAACATTTCCAAGTACTATAACTTGCTGCGTTCGAATCAAGCAGTGTACGTTGCGATCAGGAGACTAAACTTACTGCCAGCTGAAGTGTAGTTTTGTTACTTTCCCCTTTACCAAGCAATGCTGGTCTGAATGGGCTACCTTGAATGAGTTGTTTAGGATTACCGGTTTGGTGAAAAAAGTGACCACTAATGGGTCACACCAATTAATGTGGAACAGAACAGTCTTGTCTTAGCCTTTCAAATTAGAACATCTAAATTTTGTTTGTTTTAATTGTCGCCTCTAAACCAGATTTGAGGTGTTCCAGCCGTTGGTCATTATGGATAACACAGTTCTCTGTAGTTTTGTATTTTAGCTAATTATTCTTTAGTTTTACACTGCATTTGTCCTTTTGCTGAAATGATTATGTTGTAGATGTGAGTTTCCAAAACAACGCGGGCACATGTTTTCAATGACAGTCTGAATGCTTTGTGTTAAGTGGACCTCTTGTGACCATCATGTCACTTCATTTCAACTGAATATAAAGAAGAATTTGTGATAAATTAGTTCCGCAATATTCTTCTTTCTCATCGTTATTGAATTGGTGATAATCCTTTTTTAACCTTCGTTTAGTCATTTTCAAATGTTTATTTACTGAGGCGGCTTGCACACTGGACTCAACACCTGCGCCTTTTTCTTTTCGACGCTTCCATTAACCGAAAAAGTGATTTAAAATTCGTATTCGTTGCAGAACTTCTGTAGCAAATTCCTCTAGCAAATGCCAACGCTTCAAGTAGCTTCGCAGTTTCAGATAACTCATGTCCATTAGCAACTTTGTTTTTGAAGGTTTCTATTAACGTATTGTAAAGTTACTAAAAACGACTCCAGATGAAGTGTGATTCCGAAGATTGTCCACGATTTGTAGCAGACAAACATTGTAACGCCTATTCACAGTTCAGCCGATCTCTTCTACCTTTAACTAGGTAAGACATACTTACCGCATGCGCTTGCATCAGAGGTAAACTACTTCCCTCCAAGATACCCATCTATCGTAGGTCTGCGATCCCACCGTGACTCGGTCTCTAGATAATCCCTGCACAGTCTAGTTTGTAACGCCTCGTTTGATGGGTACTTCATGCGAATCTCTCAACTTACTGGCAAGTATCTTATCACGCATGTGTGATTCTGGTTGCGAACAAATACACTGAAACTTCATCTTTGGGTGCATGAATTTTCACCTAATGAGAATGAACCTGACCCATTTTAAATCGGCCAAAGTGGAATGGGCTGCATATACGGCGGTGGTTTCTGTTTTAAAGGAGCAAGTGCCCACGAAAATCCCTGCACCAGTTTCTCACAACCTATTTTTTGAACTGACGTCTTCCTGTCTTACCCCCAACCCTTGAAATAGGGTTATGAAGTAGTGTGTTCGAATACTGACCAATTTATAACCATAGTGTGAACAGATACCTGTGAGTTTGATGGCAAGCACTGGATGCAATTTTTGCCCAGTAAAGGAAAACAAAGGTTCTGGCCATTAAGTCACTTCGTATGACGATCGCTTTAAAAAAGAATGTCTCTTGGAAACAAGGAGTTTTTGGTGGCGTTATTTATCAAGGGATGTATAGAAATATTTTAAGCTAGACGTTATTTTATGGTATATGGTATGGGGTGAAAATGCAAACGATGAGTGTCAAGCAGTCCACCATTATACTTTTTCTACTTCTATATACTTGTTCTTGGTGAGAAAAACACAAGATCTTACAGTTCTCAAATAAATCTATCTGAATGCTCAGAGGAAAACACTTTGATATCGTGAAGTTTGACTCGAATGAAATCATGTTCAGAAACCTTAGTCCAAAGCCGGTTGAAGGCCTGGAAACGTTCAGTTTAATGATATACTTCCGTATTATCTTAGTTATTAACTGAACATTACACGGCAAATGCAAGAACCAATCTACCTTTTGATGGTAGGACTTGAGACCTCAGATCTGATGTGCTTAGTCTGCTTCCACTGTCAGCTAGCTGCAGCACGTCTGTAACGAAGTGATGCGTAAATGACACCAATCCGATTTGTTGGAGCTACATTTGCCCAAACACTGTCTGCCCAAAGAAGCTTTTTTTCACTTCCGAACGGCGAAAGGCCCACAGGAACGTGAAATAAACAAGGCTATCGTCAAACTGGATAATGTGGAATCTTCTTGACTTCTAAGATGGGGCCCATGTAGTCCAGCTTGCAGCTAGTTTGAAGGCCTGCAAGATGTAAAATAAACAATTGGCCATAGTGACGCAAATGATGTCATTTCCTAGTCGCATTTCTCACTCAAAAATCACCCTAAGTTTCCGCTGAACTTATTTTAGGTGACGTCCGTTAAGGACGATAGGATGGTCCTGTTGAGGATGTTTTGTATCGGCAAGATCCTCAGATGTATATACTTTGATATAATCCAAACATGTAGACACCTTATTCACAATCGCTATCCTTAAAGACGTAGGACGTCTTAGCAAAAATTCCTTTCAAAATTGTTCTTCTCAGATTTTACTAAGACTTTCCTCTCTCATGATCGTATGGCAGTAAAGCACCGGTATATGCTACTGGTGTATTTCTGTCACTGATGACGTTGATGATAAAACTGAATGTATACTAACAAATAACAAGCTACTTAACTAACTACGAAAGTCATGTTCTGTAGACTACATCAGTTTGTAGGACACTTATGAAGATGTTTGTATAAGATAGCTGTTCTCCAGGGTTAAGGCCATGCCTATCAGGAACCAAGAACAAACTTATTGAGAAAATTTTTCGAAAATCAATAGGTTCCCTTGAACCTCACCTCAAAATAGAATTAAAAAGTGTAACGTTTAAAAATAGATGCTTTTAAATAGATATCTTGCAAAGGCCTCAAGATTTTGTAAAACTAAGTGTGAGAAGCAATGTGCCAAAAATATTTTGGCGCAAAATTAGAACAAAATAATTCAGAGCAATTTTATTTCCACAGTGTTTAATTAACATTCTTAATACTAAATATTCTTATGTTCGCTTGTCATGTCATCTTCCATCTAAATAATCGGGCCTGAAAATCCACTGACAAATTCTTTTGAACCGCAAATTCAAAAGACATTGAACTGAAAGTCTTCGACGATAGTTTCAAAAAAAAGACCAAAGTTGGGCTTGGAACTCAGAACACTACTGACCAAACATGCGAGTAGCACTGCCCCCGTATCTGACGGGTAATTTATTGTGCACTAGTACACTGCCTTGCAGTGTTCGTTTATTATTGCGTCACGGTCTATGAATATCCGGCAAGGTTCGAGAAACGCTTGAACATGTTCAGTTTTTAATGACTATGAGTATGTGAGACGTTTAATTTCCTCTCTAATGACGTGCGGCTGCTCAGTTCATTTTTGCTGATGAATGACTTCGCAGCTAAGGGCTTTCTTCATTTCACTGGGTGAATGTTGAGCAATTTAGCTGTTGGTCATAGATCGGGAAACATTTTGCAACTTAATATGAAATTTTGTCATACCGGCAAAACCAATCTTTGCTAAAAAGGCACGGTAGCTGATTCCTCATTATTTAAGGTCACCAGTTGCATTGGCTAACTCACTCAGACAAAATGTAGCGCAGTTTATCTCAGTCGACCAATTCTGCCCAAACACACCTGGTATCGGTTGGTTCCTCAGTCATTCAGATAAAAAAAGAGACGTGATTTGTTGATTGGTCCACTGAAGTTTGCTCCTGCGCACGTTTTTATCCTGTACCTAGTTAACCTGGTTCCATCTTGATTGCCTCCTTGAAAACACGTTAATTAATGTCGGCATATATAACAAAGGCGAACATAGATCTTTTTTCGGGACCCAGAGGAAACACGTTATGTTTACATTCGTTATCTTTCTAACGTATGTCAGCACCAAAAATCCAAAAATATTTCAATGTGTACAGAATCTGAGCAATTCTGCGTATTTCACGTCACTACAATACAAAAATGTTTGCTTTCACGAGAAATGATATGGATCCAGACGCAAAATTTGATGACACGCTACAGCAAACCGTAAACTAGGTTAAAACCGAGATTGTTGGTTGTCGAGTAGTCTGAAACCAACCGCCGTCACCTTGCATTTAGGCATTGAAGCCAAAGATTTTTTGTTTGGGATCCTTATTGTCCCTGCGTGGGTTTAGGCATCTTGAAAGTATCTCATCCCACATAAAACCATGAACTTTGCAGAATATGGCGTTTAAGCATCGGTAATGTTGCTGGTCTATCATTGCCAATGATGACTTAAGGTAGGAAGATGATGTGTTGCGACGCAGAGGAACAGAACGCGTACTTTTGAATACTGCGTACGTTTGCCAATAGCTTCCCACTTGCTTTAGATTATTCGTAAGCAGCGGACTACCAAGGTCATTGGACAGCCAAAATTTCGGACTACGCAGCCAGCGCTGAAAAACGTTCTCGTAAATTCCGGTCGCTATTGTATCATTTTACTATTTGTATTATTGCCGTCATGTTCTAAACTTATTACCGCCTTCTGCACATTACAACTATTGCTTGTGTGGCATGACTTACTTTCTTGAGTCACGCTGGTCATCTTCGTCTATCCTGTCTCACGCACTTCATTCCACTGTATTACACACTCAGTTGATGGGCACCGCTCTTGGCCCATCAAGGTACACACAGGGAACACACAATGCCTATAGTATTCCGCTTAGTACGTATATCATACTTTCTCATGCACCCAGTGGCTTATTTTGTTTGTGGTTTTATGTACAACAAGGAAATGTTAGACTTGTATTCACGTTGTAGATTTTCCCAAAAGATTGATCACTTAGCAAGTTTGGTGTGTAATCATTCCGGAATACGTCCCTGATAAAAAATGTGGATTCAACCTGCATGAAGTAGACAAGCCTGGTGGATCAAATAAAGTCTTTTATCTTTGTACAGGTGTACAAGCTTTTCGGACTCACAATGCACACATGGTTGGGAAAGTTGTATTACGCGGTAAGGTGTCAGCAAAGTTGATGGTGCAGGACTGATGGCGGTCTATTGCCGTGAGAGTGGAAGATTTATAGTTCATCGCAGTAAGCTACATCACCGCTAGGCTAGAAAATTAGACGGAACAGGAGAGAAAAACTCTGGGCCAATAACGAATTATGTCTGGAAAGAGTATAAGTTAATCGGTGCACCAAACGGAGAAACGTAATAATACGTCCTTTACAAATGGACCTTGGAAAAAATCCAACCGAACTTGTGAAAAACCATGAATCTACCTTGGTTGGACGCTAAGCCAACTACAGATAGAAACTATCTACATCTATATACAATGCAGTAACCATCCGCTCGACTTTTAAGACGTAGTAGACGACAATTGGTGGATTGTTATTGGTTATTGGCATTTTTCGTAGTGGGAATTGAACGCATGGATATAGCAATATACCGCACCTGAAAGGAGCGATATTCAATAAGTGAAAATGATTTCAGCCAATATAATGTGGAAGAGAAACCCGAAGACTAAAATGGGGCACTTGTTGGGGGATTACAAGAGAACTGAACTCACTCTTCCACGGGCAAAAATATCTACACAGATGAATTTAATCTCTCCTATGGATGGAGATTTGTGTACTATTGATATAATCTGTCAGTTAATAAAACCGGTTCCATTTCTTTGGGGAAATTCGTCGTTTATTTCTTTTGCCAATTCGTGAACCACAATTATCACCTTCACAATATTCTTTAACAGTTAGACCATCCTTTTCCACCCAGAACATGATTGTTTATCACTAGCAAAAAACATCCGTTCAGCTTCGATGCTTTTATGGAAATCACCAAGGGAATTCGTCCAACTCAAAACCTACGCTTGTAAAAAAGCTAGCTTGATAATCAAATTTGTAGTCATCATTTGATGTTCTTCTTTTCTCCGTGTGCAAATTTTAGCGCCTTATTTTCTGTCTGTTTCTGGAGCTTAATTTTTTCACGAATATGCATTGAAAGCAATAATGTAAACCCGACATACCCAATTGAATTTGCGACGAAATTTACACCCAGAACATTCCAGATACGAAGGAATAGTACACTGTTTCACATTCCAGATGTGATCTCACATGTCTGGATTTCTTGTCGTTACATTTACAATTTCAGTTCCAAGAAGAAATGTTCACTTGCGGTCCGTGTAAATTTCACGATGCATAAATGGGATATTGAGAGGACCGTGAAAAAATATACACAACCCACTGATTATTAGACGTTATTTCTTACTAGATAATTATATTGCGTTGTTCAAGCCGGAGCCTCCCACTATATATGTATATATATATATAACATTTCGGTTATTTAAAAAGGATTTAGCTTTATTTTTTGTCTGTTCGCGATCTCTTAGTCATAAGCAATGGCCTGCTGACATCTGGACCAAATCATTTGATCACGGAATTTGATAGCGCAAAAGGATGATGAAACTTCCTCTTAGCTTTTTTATACATCCATTTATCGTCGGCAGCAAAATTTACTACCCAGCGTCGGGTCTAAAATATTTGTGAAGCAAGACTTTCTGGAAAGAATGTTGCCAGGTTACCCCCTTAGCTTGAATTCTATGTGGCCGTTAGTCTTGGCATGGTGCAGTTGAATTTCAGTTTTGTGCCGCAGGTAGACTTCGGGGTTATATGTGCTTCCAATGGTCTACCCTACTTAGTCATGCCAGTTCACCAAACTCTAATAAACGGTCCAGTTTTCTTGAATAATAAAAAAATCCCGATGCTGCAATCACTAACGAACAATTTGAAGCAGTCAACTGTTTCTTGCTCGAATTGGTGGATACTCTACCTAATCACCAGTGAATAACTTGGTAATCCTTAAATACGTAATTCACTACTCATAAGGTTTCTAAAAATTCTTCGACAGCCCGCAACCGGTTTTGCCCCTCTTGGGACGAAGGCGCAGCCCCCGAGTTTTTGTCAACCTTATGTTCTACTTTAATCCGAATTGCACGAAATTAGTGAACTATACTCATTCGCAAACAAATTTGGATTTGCGAGAGACTCACCTGGAACCCAGATGAATCTTTCGTTTGTGATGTTTCCAGGCAACTAAATGTGCTGCAGCAGATCAAATTTGTTTGCAAATGATCGTCTTCAGTACTTTTTAAACTTTTCACGATACACATGAAGGGACCCTAAAAACCTAAGTTTGTATACTTGGGTTTTTCATAAGTATGATATGCGGCGAAAACGATTAGTCCTTCGAAAGCAATTGACCACTCTTTTTGTCTTCAGTGGCACCCCTTAAGCGGGAGTGATCAAATTTGACGGCTTGACTTTCAAGCTCAAAACTCACGCTCATATTAGCAATCCAGTTGATTTCTAGCCTTTCGCAATCAACAAGACATACCCTTAGGATTGTAGACATAAAATACGAACCTCCGGTGACCAAATCCCGCCACATTTGCCTGATCAGACTTAGCCAGAAATGTCTCCTTAGGACCTATCACACCTACTCCATAAATTAGGCCACAAAATAAAACCTGTAACACCCAAAAACAGTTAGTAGCAAAGTAGTATTTATGATTCCTACTCTAAATATGGAGCTATATTGCACAGCTAATGCAGCTGTCAAATCCTGGTTTTCCGTGCGCTCGTCGGAACCGCCCTCGAACACGCTAAAGCCTTCTCTAAATAGTCAGGGACCTACGATTTTTTCTCGTTTCTGTCAATCACCGTGGAACCACACCCTCAACAACGTTCTTGTGTCATTCACGTTTACTGACAGGGTTGCTGCTCTGGTGCTTGCCAAATCACACAGTCAGTTGAAAATTAGATATCTGCTTGTCAGCTTGGAGATAGCATCAATCCGCACCAAATCCATAGCGCGCTGATTCAAATTTTGTACGCAACTTCAATCTGTCCATACACCATGCCGGGTCTCTAGCCCTGATACCATCAACGCCATACTTCGCGGAATTACAATATAATTATTTGTGGTGACCGGCACCAGAATCATGTTCCGTTAGGGCAGATTTTTCCTCCCACATCATTCAGCATATATTGTTTTCCTCGTAAATACGTCCTCACGATCGACACCGTCCCATATCCCATCTTTCTCATTGTCGTATTCTGGTGTCATCAATGCGAAACCATTATAGACTTACCGCATGTGAGCTTGCTGCTAAAAATAGCCATTTACAACCACAGTCCACAAACACCACCCACGCAAATGAAAACTGTAACAATAATCCTGTACTCTTATTAAGCCCTTTCGTTGTCCCTTTGTACAAATTTCTGCTCCATCAAACTTAGTGGCAATGCTTTATGTAAAAAAAACCATGAAACCACACAGTCAGTAGATCATTTACATACACCAGGATGGCGACCAATTCGATGGCCTCATAAGTCCTGAGTGTCATGGCGAAAGTCATCAACTTGGTGAGCCAGGCATATGAGCAAGCCTTCAATAACGGCAACTACGATAACCCACACACCAGTTGCTATTCACCCTTCACGTAACCACTAAAGTGATATATATATATATATATATATATATATATATCATGAAACTGCAATGACCTGTACCCACATTGGCTTCATAGGTCAACACTTAATTACATTTACATAAAGGAAACTACTCACAAGGTTGCTGAAAACTCTGACAGCCCACGACCGGTTTCGCCGTTCTTGGGGTTCATCGGGTAGGTGCAGTCCCCGAGTTTCCGTCACTTACGTTCTACTGTTGTCGAGAAATACACTCATTTGTAAGTCAATTTGGTTTTCACGAGAGGCTCAACTAAATCTCTCGTTTATGTTTTTTTCGGTTTCAGGTTAATCAGTTGCTACGTTCTCTATATTACAGTGCTTCTCCGTTACCTACCCTCATTTATGTTAGTGTTGGCAATTGGATTTTGAGAGTCATATCCGGCATATCAACACCCTTTAGGACCTTATCACCCGACATCTATAGTACACAAACTTGACCTGATGGTTACGCCGGAAGATACACTCTCATTTTTCCTTTTCCCATCGTTTGCTGTAATGTACCTACCGTTTTCATAGACTTGTAACTTTAAGGTGGCCACACACGTATGGTGTGCAGCAAGTTTACGCCATCCACGCACTTCAGACACGTGTTCATTTGACTGGCAGTTCTCTTGCCGGGTATTTAACAAGAAAGATAAATCTCCATAACAAACTGACGTTTGCGAAATTTTACCACATTCAAAATCCAACTGTATCAACGTCTGGATGTGAAAATTGCAGTCACTCATGGTTTCCACTTACACTTCATCTAAATAAAGCACAGCTAGAACGTAATGATGCTCCGCTAAATTGCATTTTCTCTGACGGCAGAGCTAACGAGCTTAACGCGGTACCCTGAACACTTCCTTCTCTTGTTCAAAAAACATATTTCGAACCACGAAACATCTATCGATTGACGCTCACGCCATCTTCTTTTCTATTTCTCGGCAACTTTCTATCATATTAATCAAACTCAAATCGCACCGTTATCTCACAATTCAAACTTAAGATCGTACTAAGTGAAAAATCTTCCTCTCAGCTTGACACTGAACGCTGATTGTTTTTGCTTTCACTTCAGACTTTAGTTAAAAATATTCTTGTCTTCGGTATGGTTTAACATTCGCTACAAGCAACATTTATCATCTTTTGCCCATACATCCAATCTGATAACTCTGATATGAATTCCAACTCACACTGATCCCTAACACTGATCAGTTCTCTCAGTATGTTTGAGTAATTTGCGAACTAAAATACATATTGGTACGATGCTCTCCTATATATCAAGTGGAAGCTCGCCTTAGGTACTAAACGTTTATGCTGAAACCGAATTGCTGTGAGAAAGAATGTGAGAAACTGGTTGTTATGTGACCGGTTGCGACGACTTGCGAATCAACTCTGCCCAGTGAGCGAACATTACTCAACCACGAACGCATAACGTAACCGACACAAGACACAAATCTACAATGCCACGACCAACAAGAATAATTGATATTCGCGCACGAATCCAAATGACGATTTGTATGCGGACTTGAGCGACGTCAACGAATACAAAAGTTTCCTATATTTGCGTGCCTTTTTGTAGAAGAATAGACTGACACGTACCATATGGCGGGTTTTCTGCATCTAACCTACGCCATACTGTGGAAAACAAGAAGACAAAATAGGTGGAAACTGAAATCTTGCTACTTACCGCATGTTGCAAGCAAACTCAATCAGTCAAGGAATTGGTCAACACGTAGACAACGGTCTAACCTGCCCAACTGTTTGACTCTAGCGAGTCAATCACAAGGCTGCTAGGCCGCTCGTAACTAAACCGTGTGCTCTTCACCTACCATCCGGGAGGCTGCAGATTTGAAACGCCATGGGGATTTGGGGGATGTGCAGTGCTGATGATTCTCAGAAGAATGAAGCAGCATTTCAGCATGGAGTAAATTCTCTTTTCTGAAACGGCCCCGTTGGTATTGTTTGAGCACTCCGGAAAATCTCTCTTGTTCTTAAAAGCAGTGCATTTTGTGGTCAGTGCAGCCGCGTAATTATGGAGGAAATCCTTGGTTCCCGTTACGCGTATTACAGCGAGTAGTTTTTCTGCACCCGCATGAAATGTGACAGCAAATAAAGCACAATGTGGCTGAACTCATTGATTTTATTCAGCATCCCAACTCAGGGATAATCTACTGAGAGCAAAAAACACCCAGCTTATCCAGTGTCCGAACTTCACCAGTCAGAATCCATAATCCAAATGTGACATTTCGACAACTGATGTCACACATAGTTCAGGTCAAATCTACAACCAACGACAGAATAAACCCCTTCAATGAGAAGCCGACGGTGAGATGACCTAATTTGTTGTGGTAACTTACAACACTAATCCCTTAAAGTGATGCCGTTTGCCAGATCTTTGCAAAGGATCTTAACTGCTCTAAGGAGTTGCCTTTGGGATTAACCAAACAATTTAAAGAACCAAAACCCCATATTAACCTTGTTTCCACTAGGTTTTACTTCTGGAATTTTGTGAGATCATTTCACCAAAAGCGTATCTGCAGTGCGGGGCACCTTTCGAGCTGATTTTATGTAATTTTGAGACTAGATACAAGAACCTAGTCCCATCCATTCACGTACGGCGTCAGTTCTCAACATGAAAGTTGACTTTCCTGAAGTTTCTATCAAATTTGAAAGTGAAGTCTGTCGTTTCAGGAAATAAATTCAGTAAGCGCTTCAAGATAAAGCTTGGCGTTGATAACTGACAGAACCTAACCGACACATTAAATGCAAGTGTGTAAACAACCCTCAAAATGGTTTACCTTTTGGCCATTAAAGTAGCTGTATCTGTCAAGTTGCTCTGACACTGCTAAATTTAAATAGAAAAGTTTTGATGTCCTCTCAAAGTATAGTTTTGACAATGAGCCCGTGTATAGCCTCACGTTTTATGTGTTATCCTCGTCTACAAAGTTGATATAATCATTGAATGCGTTTTTTCGAAAAACTGTCACATACTTCCGAACTATTACGAAATTTGCGGAATACGCCTGGGACGAACATACTCATTGTCCATCTTCATAGGAAACACCATTGCGGAGCACCTAGTCGGTTTCTAAATTCGAAGTACTGTCAGACTTAAAAAGGAAGCCAAAACCCAACAAGGGTATATTCTCGTCACAAAACGGTCATATCTGAGTGTCAAAAGCAATCAGGGATAATGATTTAATGCGACTTCAGTGATTCAAGAAAGTAGCATGTCCTCCCAGATAAAGTGTGTCACATCAAGTTGGCTAGGCCAACGTCTGGTCAGGATAATACGTCTTCACGCTTGAACTATAGGATGACTTCCTTTAAAGGGAGGTCATCAGCATAGAAAGGGTTTCACGTTCTCACTTGGATGACGCACGTATTTCAGAGGTAACGAATGGGATCAAAAATAAGCATATCTGATCAGGAAAAAAACTCGGAAGCTTATAAGGTTTTCCATCATTCGTCCTTTTATATATGACAGTGAGTTTTCCTTCTTTGACTTACTTTCTCACATTTTAAACGAAGGGCTTTTTGCAGCCTCAGAGCAACAGACTTGAATGATCTGGCGGCCTGTCAGAAAGTGGCTTTTGGATTCTTGTCTATTGTGATCTCGGTTTCAAAACGCGCTTGCTGCAATCCACCGCCATTTTAGTACATGTGAAGTCGCAATCTGAAATCGATCTTGTATAATCTGGATCCTTTCAGAAAATAACTGTCAGTCTGACAGTAGGTTCCATTTTGTTACGGCGATACCAGAATGTAATGAATGGTAAAAGGTGCGCTTCGACCCGTACTAGTCTATGTGTGCCTGTCTCTCTGGGTGCCTTTTAGTCGTCGCATCCGGCGCCCTACCTACGCAAGTCATGTTCGGTCACAACCACATACAGCATTCTTACAGCCGGTTTTGTTGTCCCTCTCCGAACCGATCACCCCGTTAAAAGATACAACTCGGGTTAAAATGCTTACATAATATATTGGGACAGTGGATTCACTCATCTTTAGAGGACTTATTCCAAGTATTCTTTGACTGTACACTGACAAAGAAAAGGTGGGCCTTAAACTCAAACTGATCCGAAAGCGCACTTAGTTCTATTCCGTCTTCTCACAGTCGATAATGGGTGCCAACAAAACAGGAGTGGGATGACAGTATTATTTCGGGTACATCAGCGTTTAGGAATGCATGGGAGTTATTAGAGCAGTAAATAAATTTTATCAAAACAAGGTTAACAGAATATATGTTTCTAGTGCCTCGAAACTGTCTAAAAACGAAAGCATTCTTTTCATTCGGAACAATCACTGACAAAATTTTCTCTGGAAACACGTGATGATTAGGCAGCGCAAACTGAAAGTGGCTCCAGTCAAGTAAGAAGCCTTGAGGTTAGCTGGCCTTTCTGATTTGGACCGTGTTCCTCCGCGTACTTTTTTGTAGGTTGTAATTAACAACTTCATTGTTTCACTTTCCAGATGATTGCCAAATCGGTGGTCGTGTTTCTAGTTGCGCTGTGCTTGTGACTCTAAGTTGCCGAAGCGATCCAGCTGCATCGTCTTCATTGCTACGCCAAAATGATGGCTTCTAGTTCTGAATCACCTGTCCTCAGTGCAAAGGAATTCGTGCAATATGTGGAATCTATTTCTCGTTGACTAAATTTTCTTACAAAAACACTGTTTTTTTATTGTATTTTGGCAACTAGGTGCGTGTTTTAACCGCTGACGATAATGAATGTATCCCATCTAAGATGTGAGGCGATCAGAGCAAAAGATTTTCACGCTAAGCACCTAAAACAAAACGTATTGCCATTCGAACCGAACAGTCACGAAAAATCACTAGAAAGAAGAGATCCAAGCTGGGTTATCTCACAAATTAAAGATGGACTCAAGTATGGAGTAAACTTCGTCAATATTCTAGTATGCTCGGATAGATTAGGCCGATTTTGAGCTGCTCCGGAAATCATAATTTGACCCTTAAGATCCGTTTCCTATTTTTTCATTGACCATGAGTTTCGTCAATCTTGTTTTCTGTTGAATCGCTCAGGAGGAAACAAACTTAGCGTTTATTCATAGGAAGGGATAGTTTGGCATCTACCCTGAGAACACTTGTTGTAAGCTATCCTATGAAGTTGACTGTAGGGAAAGTCTCGCAAAGAATACTGTATGCTATTTGCTGTAACCCGTAGACCAGGTCTAAAAATGACATTCACAGTCTATTACTTTTTCTTGCTTCGGTCAAAGATGAAAAATTTAATGTTTCGACGGAATATAGTCAGTAATAGGGGAAACCACCGGCAAACTCAGTTTACAGTCGAAGGACGAACTGAACAACCGTAAACCGTTGATTTTTGTATTTGCGTCCTTTGAGACAAGGTCGAAGATGACACTTGCTGCAATACCCGTCTGGTATTCGTTTAGGCGTTGTACTGTAATATACAAATTTGTACGGGGGCATTCTTGATATCCAAAAGGAACATCTTCACAGAATCAAATAGCCGCTTTGAAAACATAGTGCAAATTTGGCTGCTCCAGTTGGAAGCAATTTTGAGTAAGATAACTTGAGAGATACAAAAAGTGGATGAAACAAGAAAATAAGACGTCGGATTTTGAAGACATTCTTTAGTATTCTGCTAGATGCGTGTGCAAAAAAATTAAAAACGGTGCATTTTACATGGACTCATGTTTACATGACCAATACAAAAATAAATGAACCAATAACTGGCAGGAACTACGGGGAAATTCTCACCCTGCATTTCAGCCGAGCTGCTTTACCAGGGCAGTGGCATTTTCTTGCAGGGATTTTGAGATGTTCTCAAGAGCACAGCATCATCTGATGCCAGGTGGAAAATAAAGTATTTGTGAACAACACGCAACTGATTCTGAATATTCACAATTAATCAGGATTATCTTGAAATTTCGGCGCTTTGTCTTCAAACATCAGGAAATGCACTTTATGAAGGAAAAAGTGAGAAGCTTGATGTACAACGTTCGTAACTTGTGATGAGGCGGCGTGATGCAGCACAATCAATCAAGGATGGACAGTATAAACGAAGGAGCTAGCTGAGATTCAGGTGTCTCTCGTTATGCAGAGGAGTGTCGGATCCTATTGAATACTGGTTCAAATAGAATACATGGTTGAAGGAAACTTGCGGACTGCACCTGTCTGATAAATCACAAGAATAACGAACGCGGTCGTGAACTGTCAAGGACACTCAGCAACCTTGCGAGTATGGTGCCACATCTATACAAATTTTACACACATTTTCACCCCCGATGAACACTGTGTCATTTTTATTCCAAGGGAAGTGAGTTTAACAGTGAATTCCCGAGCGATGCCAAGTGCGATGCTGTATTTTATGCATCACAAGGAACATACAAAAAGTTCCGTCAAATTTACTCCGGGAATTTCAGCTTTTGCGAACATCTCGGGCTTAAAAATAATGATATCATATGTGGCGTGCAATCCACGGCGAATTTAACGATATCTGCAGCCACCTTCGATCAATAAAAATTGTCCAGAATGCTCTAAGCGTCCATAGCGATAATTGATGGAATTGAGTCAGAATTGAGTCAGTCGACTGACACAACCAGGACAGCTTCTCTGTTGTCGTTCGAGCCGCCAGTCAAACTACCTAAATCGTCCAAAAGAACGGGTGTCTACGCCCATTCAGATGTGGTGATTTGGTTGCGTCCAATATGAGCTGATAGAATATTTTAACCTCGCCCAACTCTCTTGTCAGACGTCCAGCACAGCGAGGGATATGCACTGTCAATTGGGGGCAAACCTCCAGCCCTATGTTCTGTGCGCAACCACCAAATAATCGCTTTAAAACAGAAAAGGGATTGTTCAATACCAGTGGTGATTCGCTGCAGTAAAATTGATGCCTCGCTCTACGCCCATTCAGATGTGGTGATTTGGTTGCGTCCAATATGAGCTGATAGAATATTTTAACCTCGCCCAACTCTCTTGTCAGACGTCCAGCACAGCGAGGGATATGCACTGTCAATTGGGGGCAAACCTCCAGCCCTATGTTCTGTGCGCAACCACCAAATAATCGCTTTAAAACAGAAAAGGGATTGTTCAATACCAGTGGTGATTCGCTGCAGTAAAATTGAAAAAATGCCTCGCTTATGTTTTTTTTACGAAAGGCATTTTAACATTGAATGTAAACCAGAATTTCTTGATGGCTAATAGTTCTTCCTCATATCGGACGTGCGGATGCTTTTCTCTAGCCTTTTTTCACTCTTCTAGACCCACATGTACTTTGTATTTCAGGATAGACTTCATCTACATGAAGTCACATAAATTTGACAGCTTGTTCCGACAGGAAACCATGATTACATCCTTTGTATGTGCTTTGACGAAGACCCGTGAACAAATATACGCATAAAGTGCAGAAAGTGCAAAACGTGTCCATTGTACGACCATAGCTCATACCAAAACGTACCCAACTAGTTGCAACACTAAGAATTGTCGTCAGTGGGAATGGAATGTAAATCTAGATACATTGGACTGTTATTAGCCTCATCTGGAGAGCACCGAGCAAATACGGGCTTGTCCACATATTGCGGTGTACTTAGCGTTTGTTTTCGTTGTCGTGCAGACCACATTTATCTTTTATTCTCTTTAGCTTGAGCACTCTGAGGAAAGTATGAGCCCGTTGGCAGACAGCATACAATATAAATGTAAGGTAAGTGAGACGTTCGTTTGCCAGTAACAAACTATATGTTTATAGACGAAACCACCGTCTTCCATTACAAGGTCATATCGATCAATACGTTATCCTTGTAAACGGCAAAGGCAATCCTGGACCGAAAACGGAATTAGCCCACAGTAACTTTTGCTTTTATTTTTTCTTTTGTTATTCACTTCGCAATGAGGTCAACTAAACCAATGTTTGTGACCCTTTTACTCAGCCAGACTGTACGGAGAGCAAAATGACTAATTTGACCAACCAAAAATTCTTCTGATTAGTATGTCCTATGAACAGATTGAGAGTAGATAGGTTCTGGATATATATATATATATATATATATATATATATATATAACTGAGTCAGAGTCCAATAAAGACTACGAACCTCAAGCACTAGTAGGCTCTTTCATCATCGTACCAAACTNTTTTTCAGCAAATCATTCAAATCTGTATGCACATAACATAACTCCTGCATGTTTTTGGTGTCAGTTAAGCCGCACTTCTAAGAGATTGTGTGATACAGGATGGCTGACCGGGACGAATAGCAAAGCCTTTGGGTCTCCTTCAAAGGCATGGAAAAAAGTAATTATGTCACCCCCCGTTGAACATGTTCCCCTGTGAAATTGCGACAGTCCTTTCAGGGTTCGCCGATGGCTTCACGTTTACGATGGGTGCCAGATGCTCAACGACCCATTTCCGAGAATATAAATAGTCGATGGCTTCAAATGATTTCAAGACCCAAGCTCAGCACGTTCAAACTTTTTATTTGACAAACCATAACAATTTCACCTGCAAGTGCCCATACAAATAAGATTTCTACGCAAATTACTTCAAACTAGAATAGCATTTACATGACTTGGCTAAATGACTGACCGTGGCACAAAATCTAGCTTAAAATAGCTTGATGGATTGAGCTGCAGAAATGCCGTTAAAAAACTAATATAACCACACCGATTCAGCGAGGCTCCTGTCAGCCGATCAAATAGAATCAAGCGAATTTGGCAAGTGTGTGTTCCGCTACGTATAGCTTCATCATGCATCCTGATGTATTTTTTGCTACATGCGATCTGTCTTCGTGTTCTTGATGGTAACTTGTCTTGAGAATGAATCCTAAAGCAATCTGAGTGAATTTATTATCGCCTCGTTACATAAGTAAATATTGAAGAGAAAGCCTGAGTCATTTTTTGGACAGAAAAGCAGTCGTTATCACCCGATTTCTTAAAAATCGTTACATAAAATTCAGAGGTTGTCCAAATCCTCTACGGATCATTCAACGACGAAAACAAATAACGCATCGAATGCAGCTGTGCCTTGGGTGTCATCATGGACGCTGTATGAATTGAGACAGGACAACACAAGAATGATGTAATCAGTCAAGCACGCCTCTATTGTTGTCTGCTTGCGAACTATCGTGGACTATGTAATTGGTCTTCGAATCACACTCACAAATTATTTTCCTGTTCCAAATAGGACGAGTATCGTCAACCAAATTTTTGGGTAGCAGTCGAAATATTCTGCCTTTGGTGATAATCATCGCGTGCATTTAGGTGATGATTGGCTTCGTCTCCGAAAGAGGCTTGTTCACACTTACTCTGAGGGATCGGTATCCTTACGCCGCGCTCACAGACATTGGTTGTGCGTAGAGCACTATCGGTCGGGGTTCAGGCCCGACTTACTGGCGGCGCAAATGTGATGGCTAGAAGGAGGCGTCGAAATTTAAAATCACCGTCAGAATCAACCTTACGTTTGATATAATCTCCCAAGCCGTATTTGGATAAAACGCCTTTAGCTACTCAAGTGCAAATGACATTTAAGGTAAATTAAGTCTGTCTAACACTCCACTACTCATAATATTGGTGAAAACTGCTCAACAACCAACTGCTGGCAGCACTTTCTCACAACCCGTCAGGTACTCACAACCGTCAAAGTTTTTGACACGTAAACACTAAATTTGACATCTGCGGGTATACTCAGTGTACGCATCAATGAAACCGATCGGGTGAAGTATTGCGTCTCTATAATCAGACAGATTAGCAATGGGACGAAACACACTGAGGTACAGAATACCTCTAACTAAGTTTAGTCTCAGCCTAACAACTCCCTTGGCAGAAAAACGATATATGGGCTTCTAAGGTCAAACAATTTAGCATGCAGTTGTTTTTTTCTTTATAAATATTATCCAGTAGAAAGTGCAACCAATAGGATGGCTTCTTCACCAACAGACAAACAAAACCTTCTCAAATGAGGCCATACAATCCGCCTGGTGAAATTACCACTGAAAGTTGGACAAAATTTCACCACGTACTGAAGATAGAACCCCGGTTTCCTGATTCCACCTTTGTCTACGCAATTCGTTCGTTGTATGTTGATGGACATGAAAGGGGAAGTGAATAGTAGTGAGATTGTAGCAAACGGTAAGAAGCTTCTTCTAGCTGCTGAGTTTAACTGAACTTTTATTTTGTACTACTGGACAGCTAAATTTAAAAAACTAACTGGATTTATGCCTTTTGATTATGACAAACCATAATGAAATGCCTTAGCATTTACCGTGAGTCTGGTAGAAACAATTTTATGCAATTTGCCTCAATAAAATTGATTTTGCTCATGTTTTTGTGGACAAATGTTTGCATAAAACTTCAAACTCGTCATGACCGACCAAGAAACCAGTCCTCTTTTATTGTCACTCAAAGAGCAATCCTGGGTAGGCTAACTTCAAAACAGCCCAGAAGATAAATCTTTGCTAAAAATTACCAGACTTTACGTCATTGAATGCAAATACTCTAGCCAAACTGTAGATTTGTCAACAATAAAACTTTGTAGTAAGAGGGAAAAAATTTGAAATAATTTCCGAAAAATCACCCGACTTGGACCTGCTATTGGCAGATGACTAATGAGAGTGCACTCAGGATGATATGTTTCATCGGGTTGGTCATCCAGTCATTTCATATATTTACAAAGGCCGGATAAATCGCTCATATTCCCGTTTTCTTCCAAAATATTTGCATGAACATTCGCAGCATGAAGTCACGTCTATGAAACACGACAATGTTTAGACAAACACCGACGGGACAATTTGAGTAAATGCAACAAATCCGTTCAATCGGGATCCAAGCTCTAGACAAAAGAGAGATATTCTAAAGATAGCTGATCATCTTATCGCTGCGAGCTCATGACGGCCTCCCTATTATCCGTTAGAGGTGGAGGCGAATAAGCTCTCTTTAGACGACGAGTGCAAGTTTCGTCGAGTAGAGCTATCCCGAGAACCTGATCATTATTTGTTCGTTTGCTGGCTTAATTTAATTTTTAACAACTCAGTTAGTAAATACTTCAGATGTCGCAAATGAGTTTTTCCAGACACATTTGCGGACTAGGTTTATGTACTGATTCATGGCTCAACCTCCTTGGTAGCTAGAAGAAAGCTAACAGGCGGCAACACATTGAAAATGTCCATGCTACCCGAGATAAATCCATGTTCTCGTAGAATTTAATCAAGTCATTGCACTCTGCATTGTAATATCCACTCATCCAAGTGTAACCTCTGACACCCTAGTACAGAAGTCTAGTATCGTATCCGATCAACTACATCGGAAATCGAACACCATTACCGTTATATTTGCCTCTGGATAGTCATAACCCTTGTCTTCTTCACATCACGCACGTCTCCAAATTACGTACTGTGTCGCCTTAGTCAACCTGCCACCGAGTTGTGTTTTGCAACCGGTACAATTATTCATGAATGAGGTCCGATTAACCACAGAGTTTGTTTTTCCCAATCACTTCTGGGGAGAACCTCGACAAATGCTCTTTTAGAAAACAATCGAATAAGCGAATAATAGTTTTTCACTGAAGATAATTTCTTGTCCAAATCTGTCCCAATTATTGGTTTCAGAGGATAACTGTACAAGGTGACCGTGGATGTGAGTTGAGCTGGCAACTTGTGTATTATCCAACGGTATTAGATTCACTCAGACAACGAGTTGCATTGTTTGAACAACCGCTTAATCGACCAGAAACGGACCACAGTACCGGAATAACAGAATGTTTGTACCCGTATATACATACAGATTCGAACTGAGACACTACATGGACAATCACACTGGCAACTATTTTTAATGTGTATTGTAGTTCCTGATGGCTATGTGGCCAAACTCTGTTAAGGGAGACAACAAGATTAAAAATTACGAATAATTTGATTGCCTATTCATAAATCATTCAAGGTATTTATACCTCAAACGGACGTAAAATACTGCTAATTTAAGACTGGTCGTTATTAGGTGCTCGGATTGTGAAGGTGCGTCATCTGAGAAAATTTGGAGAAAATTTGGAGCCGACCGTTGCATTTCTTGATTCAGCGTGGCCGCGTAATGGAAGATGATTCGGAAAACCCATAGTTTAAGTAGTTGGAACAGTATATATTTTCCAAAAAGATAATTATATTTTACTAGAGTGATCACAATTGTGCAGCTGAATCGTCGGTTAATCTATCTTTTAGAAAATGAAGATAGCATCTCTCAAATAGATGAACTCGACAGAATTCCCAAGCAGGGAATAAGACAATCTCCGGACAAACGAAAACAATATTTTTGTTCAGAAAATTCATCATCGAAGATACGTGAAATTATAGACAGGGTCTGAAGGCATTGTTAGAGATGGTATGTCATCCGTGAGGGCAAACATTCCAGTAGGTCTGATGTGGCATACCAACTGTGAGACCTGAAAAAGTAAAAAAAATAAAAACATCCTATACGAGAGATTCAGCTGGGTTCTGGGTGAGTTTCCCGTCAAACAGATATACAGAAAAGTACATTTGTCGAAGAAATATGTACTTCCGCTGATGCAAAAACAGTATATGGTACTAATTTTATCGTCTAAATGGGAATGCTTCCCGAAAAGGTGTCAGTAGACACGCGACCGGAATCTATCAACGATTTCCTGGGTTTGTTGGCTAGCTTTATTAGCCTAGCAACAACAAAGTGCACACAAAAAATTGACAATTAACCATAAAAAATCGTTATATAAATAGTATGGTTGTGGGAAGGAACCCAATATTTGCAGTTGTTATGGCATTATGTAAAACTCTTGATTACCGGTAATCGCGCACCCAAGGCTGTCCTTAAAGGGCAAGCACTTTTGAAGATGGATCACGAAGACTTGAACTGACTGGCCTTTCGGGATGCTGACGTTGTTGTACACAGGTGTAACTCTAGACCATGGACCAACGCTTTGTTCATCCCACATACCATCACTGCGGTAATGAGTGCCATAAAAACCTCGAGTGAGATCACATTCCTTGGCCAGTTTTGCAGGCACAATAGGGGGTGTGGGATGTATTTGCACAAATGTCGGATTATTTAAAGCTCACGTAATAAAAGTAACAATAAATATGAATAGTGGTCATATGTGCACAAGGATTAATTAAGATAATTTTACCTGCGTATTGACACTCCCGTATGACACGGGATTGGGAAACACAAAAGAAAGTTGTTAGCCAGATTCAGTAGGAAAGCATTCCTATACTAATGTGTGATCAGATCCTCTAGACTGATTCCAACCGCATTATGCCTGATTGTCTCTTGTACAGATATGCCTCAGGAAAAAGTTGAAGGAAGGGATACCTACTGAGAGCTTCACGGATTTGAAATGTCGGCCTTTGTAACATATGTAAATTCACTAAATCTGTGCCACTGGCCAGAAACTGATCAACCGAGCAATCGAAACACGTCATTTGGAGTGATTTTTCCTGTTCCTGCTCAAAACGTCAAGGTCGTAAAATAACATTAACTTACTTTGACCGAAGCTGTCTCCATCACACTCCGTCCAACAGAATTTGCTTTGGTATTCATCATATGTTTTACTGTTAGGTAGCGCGCCAGGAACTCATTGAAAATACTGCTTGTCATCTTTGTGGTGGCGGCAGCGGAAAAATTCAAACAACTTGCCCCAAAAGCAAAGGCGGGAGTGAAATATGTCAAGCTAGTATGGTGCGACCAAATGTTGGCCATGGATGCCTAAGACCTGAGTGGTATGCACATGAGGTCAAACTCATTTCGACGTATAGATCTGCCATTTCCTCGGGTAAACCGCGTAATGGTTTGTGGATACTTTCCATCATCAAACTTTTGGGATTCGTCACCGCACTTACTCTTATCGAGAGCAAAATAAAGCTCCGGATAAAGGTCGTGTAAAAGTTGGTGTCTGATTCGATGACAGTATGGCTTTATCACCTGGAAACATCTTTCGAACCTACCACATTCGAAAACATACCACCATCTTTGCGGTAAACAAAAACAAATATGGATGAAGGCTTTCGTGAGGCATATGACACATCTTAACGCAATACTATCCATAGAGGATGCATACTTGTGCACACGAGTACAGGCGCAATCGCCTATTTATCTTAGATTATCTTAGATTATATAGCTGGTACTTCATGCTTCCCTTGATACCTTTTGGAAGCGGTGATAAACATTAATTCACCTGAATATCTTTGGCAGGTGAACATTCTTGGGCGGATGCATTCTGCGGGAGGGAAGGTCGTATTCGCAAAATGACACGTCGAGATACCGTTCAGAGGATACCGCAGTGACTTTACTCACGGTATGGGGGAAGCTGCTTCCAAAGTGTCCTAATGGTGGTTGGATACATGGCAGTGCTGAGTACTGACAAGAAGGTACATTTAGATGATGTCTAGTGCTTATTCGGGTGAAAAAACTCAACCACAAAATACGGTAGAGGTACGATATTTTCAAGATTGAAAGCAAACTTTTCGTAAACAGGAGGAGAACGTACAAATACGCTAACGATTGTAGCCAATTAAATGGCCAAGGTTCTGCAAGTACTAAATCAAGGTAAATCAAGGGTATATTGGTCTAGAAAGCATTTTGCTTTACAATGACCAAAGGATATTGGTGTGTGTGTATGTATACAGATAAACGGAATGATATGACATATATGTTCTATTGTTTGTAATCTGCATCTCAACTGTTGATGAGGGAAGTTGGGTAAGATCTTATGTATTCGTCAAGCGAATGTTTGAAAGTCTCGAGGTTACCACAATCCACAACAGATGTTGGTAGTTTGTTCCACGTGAGGGATACGCGGACTGAAAAAAAGTAGCGCCGACAGTTAATGCGGGAACATGGAATGTCAACGGCCAATGGATTCCGTCGGGTCTGTCGGGCCAAATTAACTGTGAACAAATGTTTTAAAGGGTGATTAGGGGTGTTTATTATCTTGAACATCAGGATGAGGTCTCCTCGTATACGCCGATAAGTTAAATCAAACTTCGCTGTGCCTTGCACGTGGAACCAGCACAAAACAACCTACCAACATTATAGAAATGGGGAGCAGTTCGATAACATTAGATAGGTAGTTGGTTAGAGCATGGAATTCGCAATGACTCTTACCTGCATAAGTAATTAATGATTCAGCCACCTGGATTGCAACAAAGGTCAAAAACCGTATGGTCAACCAAAGTCCTGTGCGTTACTGTGGACATTGGCAGAATAAATAGGGATGCACACAGACGTGAAATGACTTCCTTTTTCGTGCTTGTGAATGAACCTAAGCCACATGATATTGGAGCTTGGTACCGTGCTCATGGAGAGTGAAAGAACAAAAGAACAACAAGCGCAAACGCTTGATGCGAGTTACTCCTCAAATATGCAAGATCGACAAACTTGCTGTGAGTAGTTTTGCAGATGGCTGATGGGCCAGGTGCGATCATTCTATGTTCATGTTATTCGGAGGCAGTTTTTGCATAATTCCATGACAAAAATGTGGTTTAGCTTTCCTGGCAACCTTACTGCATGATTCGTCACAGCGATTCCTGTTGACAAGTAAATCCTCAAACGGAAAAGAGTGATTTCCGTCTGGGTCTGTTTAAGCCCGATTTACGCAGAATATTTTCATGAGGGCACTCTAAGACAAATTGCTAATGCTAATCTTGTCAGCGCCAGAGCGTTTATCGATGGCGCACATCACTGTGCAGGTTGTGATACTCTGGGACCTGTCATTGTGCAGCTGACCCATCTGGCTAATCACTTGTTCGTTGCAAGCCCATTTTCCTATTTCCAACTAACCACCAAAGTGTGCATTGTTCCGAACGAAATGTATGACTATCAGCCAAACAATGTGATCGCATCAGCATCCACTAGAACACATCCAAGTGGTCTCATACGAAGATTAGAGAAATGTATGGTGAAATTAAGGTAAGTTTCCCATAGTACACTCAACGCCAAAATAAATAATATAACCGAAAATTAGGACATAAAAAGCATCTTAATTAGAGATGTACAGTGGACACATTAAACGTGAGCTTGATCTCATAAATAAGGCTAACGAATTTACGATTGATGACTGCATTTTTGACCGTTAGCATAACGGACTAGAAGGTGCACCCCTCACCATGTTAAAGTTAAGGTGGAAAACAGCGGAAAAACCGAATAACGCAGCTTGGCTCCTTGTAAATTTGGTCCGATTAGCATAGCCAAACCGAGTTACAAACGGGTTGGCATGGTCTCGTGAAGATTTTTTTCAAATGTAGTAGTTCACTTGCATCAGATATGCATAACACGGAATTCCTTTGGATTGTCTAAAGCGCAGTTAGAGGACTAAAATCCTTGGTAAATTTCCACATCTCACCAAGTCTTTGCAGATAAGACATGTTGAGAATTGTCGCATATTTTATTCACCATGCTGAGAACAGCACTCTTTTGCCCAATTTCCTGACAATAAAAACTCAACGCTAGCCAGACATAGCTGACGAAAAGACAATAAATGGTAACACAAAAGCTTGTTGCGTGTTTCACTTCTGTCTTTTTGTCATATATTCTCTTGACAAACAGACCTAACGAATCACAGTCCATCAAATAGGGCTCTTCATGCCTCAGTTCAAGAAAAATTAGATCAAAAGGATCAAAAGAAATTTATTCCCTCAGGGAATAATTATAAGGGGAGTGCCCCTTTGCCATTTGGCTAGGTTTTCAAGTCTCTTAGCATACAAAACTACAGTGTCTGTGACGCTTGTAGATGATTTGCCCCGACTTGATCAGTAGTTTCGTCAAGTAGCATTTTGAACAAATAAGACAGCTAAAATGTACAAAAGCTACTGAAGCTGGAGAACACGATACAACAAACAAATGATGACTCTCGTTTATAATTCAAGTGAGATTCATTTGAGTCTTTGGTTAAAACAGGATTGGTATGGAAATGAGTATATTTCGCAAATTTCGTGCAAATACGGTAACACATTGTTTTTCAAGTTCCCAAAGCAACATCTTATATTGCTGACAAAACTCATTTGGGTGAGAATTTACGTCACTTTTCGTTTGGCCTTTTGATCCGTTTATCTGAAAATAAATTACCAAACCAAAAACGTCCCGGCAGAAAACATGTATTTTCATCTTTCTGACATATCAGTACATGAAGGCCAAATATGGTTACCACTAAAAGGCAATCTACCAAGAATCCAGTCCAATCGAGTTCCATATGTTGCGAGTTCATATTCACTGTGGTGATGTGTGCTGTACCTCGAAAGTGTTCGCATGACCAAGTTCGTGCAACGCATACATTGAGTTATCCGTGAGCTTGTACCGTTCTTTTAGAACCACAGCATAATCCTGACGTGTTTACTTCTAGATGTATTTCGTGATTGCGCTTTCATTCTGATTAAAATGGCTCCGTTTTCGTACATTGTGGCTATTAGAAGCAGCCCTACGGATAAATCTACAAAGCTATACTAAGGTAGAACTCAACCAAAGCCGTCATTGTTCCTGATGAGTAGGTCAGACTGCTTACCTCAGCAATGATGAATTCATAATCTATTATGGAATTCAAAGACTGGGTTGTGTGAAATATTAGCCACTCAGCCAGACAAACCCTAAGCCATCCACAAAAGTATCTAATTGCGGAACTATTCAAAACGATTTCTGGGCTTCGAACTTTTGCAAGAGGTTTTAACCGTGCCAAGTGCATTGTCTGAGTCCACCTAAACGCCAGTTTGGTCATACATATCTCGGAAGCCGCATTGGTAAGTGTAGCATACAAGCGACATCAAGCGTAACAGACAAAGTTAGCGCAGGAATCTTGAAGAGCAGAATTTTTTCTGCGAATTTGCGAGATTTGTGGCATCAAAAAACATATCGCCGAACTGCAAGGGATGCGCATGTAAACTACAATGCGGGTTGTATTGTCTTACACTTGCGAGACTTGAACGTTTCGAATGGGTGATCCGAGGCTAATTCAGGTCTTTGATCACCGAATTCTATTACCTACAACCAAAGTCGGCTGTCACCGACGAATTCAGAATTCATTGGTCATGATAAGGTTCTTGATGAAGCGGGTTTTACTCCACTCAAAGAGTGTATCCAGCATCTCAAGCAAAGCTGGCTGGGCCACCTCTCGAGCATACCTAGTTGCCGACCTTGGAGAACAGTCCTGCATTCCATAGCTAATTCAAAGTAGTGTAAGCCTAAAAATTAACAGGATTTAAAATACCAGGTCACAAATAGTGATGCAAAACATTTGGGCATTCTAGGTACTGTCTACCCTCCAAAATATAGCTCTCATGACCGCTTCAGGGTTTGACTGAAAATAGTAAACGATATGGCGGCTAGTAGATGTTAGTAGCCTCCATGTTTCCAGTTACTATCACGACTGAGTGGGTGCTGTTTGAGATAGGACAGCCTTAGTTCTCTCCTATCCCATTTCCTCTTTTAATGGTAAGTCTTCATTTAAATAAATTGGCATCGTTGTACGGCGTTAAAGTGCCGGTATTCTCCATCGATTTTGCTGTTAGTGAGGGTGATGATGACAGGTAAGCATTTGTCATGCTTTTGCTCAAAGGGGTCTACTGTGATCCCGAGCCAAACTAACCGCTGTTCTATCCCAGCTCTCGGTTTATTAAGCAGTTACAGACTTTGAATGATCCGCGGCCTTGGTACAAATAATTAGCTTTCGAATATCCCAAACAGGAATTCCCGTTTTGTGGGACGCTTCTGTTAACAAACTTCTCCCTACAAAGAAAATGACAAATGTTGATTGTCTTTCTCCAGGGAAGTTTTAAGAGAGGAAATTTTACCGGATGTTTAAACTTAGTGGACATTTCAACTTCGTGATGAAAAGTAATCGTGCCAATAAGAAAAACAGGTTTTAAACAGCGACGTATTTGCCTATAGTATCAACCAATCCTCTTTAGTTCTATTGTTAGTAATCGCACGAGATTAGACTGTCATTGCCAGTGCGTGTCCATGTATGCAATCATAAAATAACTAGATCTGCCATTCAAAGATTTGACTTGTAATAAGGGCTCAAAAACACATTGAGGCTCAAAGGGGCGTGAGATTTTTTGGCATAAACTTCATCACCAGAATCCCATTAAAAATGAATACAACGGAATGCAACTGTTGAAAAATGCCTAATATCACTGTCAAACGTAAGATGCCCGGTTAAATTTAAACTCAGAAACGTTTTAAGGAATAGGTACAGAATACTTTCATTGGAGCCCGCTGCTTGTTCTTAAAAACCCACCGAAAGTTTCTTCAAACTGGCATCGAAGCCACTTTCAATCGGATACCAACCCTTGTGGAGGTATCCTTTGATGTACAATTCAATCCAAAAAAGATTCATGAAGCATGTTGAAGAAACAAATTGAAGATTATTCCATCGCACCTCTCCGGTCATACAATTCATTGTCAGGACTAAAAATTATGCCTTAATTTGTAACCTATTTCTTATTAGTCCTCTTTCTGGACACTTTAATAGGTGGCTACTAATGAGGAGTTCCGGTTTACTTTCCAGTGATCAGTCACTTGTTTGCGTGCTTCGATTAACATGACTGCTGCAACCCTTGTATTGCTAGCTGAAGAACATAACGGAAGTGTAAAACAAGTGTTGTTATACTGTATCAGTGTTTATTTTTTCATCTGATCAAATTCTGCTTCACATTATCCGAAAATTGATGTATACAATACGGGAGAATGGGTCTATTTGGGGCAGTAAGTTTGTGTGGGCATGAATTCAACCCAGTGGTGTGTAATTAACAGGAGCACTCAGTTGCAAAATGCGTTCATGCGAAATAGTTTCATGTTCTGCAAGAGCGCCTACTTTGTATGGTTCAAATCTTACAAGCGTACATTCGTACCAAGCTACCTCAAAGGACTTTTAAGCTGGTCAGACTTGAGGGAGCGGTTTCTTCGTGATTTTTTTGTAAAGATGTACATCTTGTGCGTGCTAGCTATATTGTTCAGTGAATTACTAAATTCCTGAAACACATTGCATTACAAATTCTACAACGGGAAGTGGACTTACACTGAGTAAGCTTGATCACAATCGCCTGTTCAGACGTAATTATTCAGGTACGCTGGGGCGTCCGAAATATAAATCTAGGCAATATTGAGAATATGAACTGCTGTTAAGCCCTGATAAAAGCAGAACTCTAGTACAGTGCTCTTGCTTAGTGGTTTATGGGCATCAGAAAAGTTGCACCAGAGTAGCTCAAATGAGATTGATTTGAATTCATATGCTGATGGTATACAAGAAGTCAACGACGCTTGGGTGAGAAGACTGTTGCTGACTGAGTGCAGACCTTTGGAATAATACTAACCTTCAATATAAATGAACTCCAGAAAGTGGAGAGTAGTTGTTGAGTACACCTAACGGGTGCGCGTAGGTAGTGCAACGAACGTTCCGAAAACCGCTGTTTTAGGGCTTTAGGTGACATCGCCCAAGTGTTTTTGTTCCATTTGATAGATTAAGTGGTCTGTGAGATTTTGTTTTGAGTTTCATTTTACTCCGGAGAAGATCTCGTCCAAGGCGCACTTCATTATGTCTACAACCTTATGAAGAATGTTTTAACCCAAAAATTGTAGCTTAAATTGCAATAATTAACTCTTGGATGTGTTGCCACTTCTTTATTGTCGTCTGTCGGCAAACTGATTGATTCTCAACTGCTCGTTCAAGAGCATCTGTTTTGCGTCTAATCTGTTGAAAATAAGTTGTCATCGTTAATGGTGATATATATTCTCATTTCCAACTCATAAGAGGAGGAAGTTTGATGTAAAACAACCGGCATGAGACCCTTATGTTGAGTAGACCCAAAACCGTTTCCCATTGTGTGATTGTTGAAACTCATCACGTTCTCTGATCCTAATTGATAGTGCGATGAATCTATCACCAAAAAGGCAACAAAACGAGAGAACTTTCTCGATAT